GTGTTAAAATAAATTTACAACTATTGTTCCAAATTTTTAAAAGATAAAATAAGACTAGTAGTATGGAACATCAAAATATTCGTCTAGACTCACACCGCTTTAGTCTTGGAGGGTTGATTAGCGATCAAAGACCGCTTAGAATTAGAACTAATGATGGTTAATGACCGTATTCCCTCTATACAAATGTTAGAAACGCATTTGGAATGCGATAGAATCGAAAACCATTTTTAAAAAAGTTTAATAAAAGAAAGAAGAGTGATTAAATCGTCGAGAGGAACTAATTGACGCGCCTTCCATTAAGGAAAATATAATCCAAGTGCATGGGAATACTGTAGTCCAAATTATGGTTAGAGATAGTTTTCTCAAATGGTATCTCTCTGCACAAATTCATAATCGTTTAGGGCCCAAAATCCACCACTCGTTCAATTTGTCAAAATTAGACATGAGTTCCTATGGTTCACAGCTAGTTATAAGTTTTAACTTTAATATTAGGTCTTTGCTTCTTCTCCCTCTATTCACCATCGATAACGTTCATTATTTTCAATTTATTTCTCTTCATCCTTTTCTCTATCTTACCATACTTTCGTTCCACTATTTTTCTTATGTCGCTTTTCTTCATCATCTTACACATTCTTACATCCTTAAATTTGCTTAGAAAACTTTCTTTGGTCACAAACAAACTTCTTTTATCAGTCAAATCAATAGATTGTATCTAACCGAAAACCAATAAAAAACATGTCCACAAAAAAAAAAAATTAACTTCCTCGAGCAAACGGGCTTCTGTATTCTTATCTTTCTGTATTCTTATCTTTAGATTGGTAGATAAAAACGAAATCCAAAAAAGACTTCCGTAGTTTTTCCAGTTCACTTAATTCTACCATGAAGTCGGGTCAATCCTTTGGATTTATGTTTGCGATGGTAAGTCATTAAATCTATTGCTTAATTTTTTTTTCTTATTTACCCTACCTTTTAAATGAAACCTTTTTTCGAGTTCCAATATCTTTTTCTTATTTCAGCACCAAATCAAAAAAAATTGTTGGTGCTGAAATATAATTATCCCATACTTTTAAATCATAGTATTTTTTTAAAACAATATCCAAGTTCGCATATAATTATCCCATCTTTCTTTGCATTCGAATAGTTTTAAAATGCAAAACTAACATTTTTATTGATATATTTTTCGATCTTAACATCAATAAACTCT